ATATACATATTTTTATATATAAAAATATGTATGCCACAGCACAGGTATGAATGCACTGTTATAATAATTTTAATCTTAAAGCACACAGTCACTGACTAACCAGGTTATAAACAAGATCAAAGACAATGCAATATTCTGGATGTCCAACAAACTATGTGTTATGTGCACATCCCAGAAATGCAATGTGTATCCACGAAATTATGTAATTAAATGTGGTATATGGCTAAGAAACAAATAAACAAAATAATTACAATTCAAGTCTTTGTGGCTGAATCTTGCACAAACATATAGATAGAAAAAAATAAAAATACAATTTCTTGGCTGATTTAAAAAAAAAAATGTCCATTGTGATACCTTTTTCACTTTTGTGCTCATTCCCAGCTGTCCTTTTGTACTTAAGACACAGGTCCTGCCCGCTTGTGTCACATGACTCATTCTGAAAGGGTTCTATAATGGAACACATAAGGTGAAATACATCCTAATTAATACATGACCTCACATAAGCAGTTTGCTTTGCACATTTTGTACATTGAGAAGTTTTACCATAAAATCCTTTCTAATAAGCATTGCAAATACCATAATTTACATTTTCCCCTAATGGACCCCATATTGCCAAAACGATTGTTTGTACAGTTTGGAAAAGCACCAGTTTTGCATCTCTTTCTTTAAAAAGTCATTCCAATGATATTTTGGTTATCGGGGGTTACAGGGCGAGGCATGTGGGCTTAATAGCTGTGCACCTTAATCAAGGAACCTATGCAAGATAAAAAGCAGTACTCAGGCGCTGGCCATAGATACAGACTTGAAATCTGATACTGAAAATTGTATCTAATCTTTAGTATATCTGTAGATTGAGATGTGGTACAGTGCGGTTGACCAAAAATGGCAAAAATGTACAACATCTATTCTTACTGGAAAGTCAGTTATCCTAATTATACCTCAAGACCCTAAGTAACTACAATTTTAAAGACCAAATTTAAAGGGAATGTATAGTTTTTTCAACTGTATTTTAAAGCTGCTGTACATCTAAATGCGTCCATCTTCATGTAAATAACAACATAAATGTGGGTCAATGTTTTACAAATTTTATTTTTAGTTTATCACTTATGTAACAGGGGGGCAGCCATCTTTGTTTATCACATGGCCAGGCTCTAATTCCTGCTCTGCAATGCCACAATATTTTTGTTTTACTGATTCTTCGAGTAAGTCTACGAGTTGATCGGCCCTTTACAAACAATGCACTCCCTGTGTAGGTATCCTACATTCCTTTATTTTTTTTTTGGTGTGTTTAATATATGAATACTTAAAAACACTGAAAACATACTGGGGGGAATTTATAAAAACTGGAGCAGACAAAAAATGGAGCAGCTGTGCATTGCAACCAATCAGCTTCTCTCTTCCGTTTGTTCAGTTAAGATCTGAAAATGAAAGAGAGAGGCTGATTGGTTGCCATGCACAGCTACTCCAGATTTTGTCTGCTCCAGTTTTTATAAATTCCTTTCATTGTACTTTCCCTTAAATTAGTGCTAATATAGACTCTGTCATTAAAAAAATAGCATAATGTGCACATACCTGCAGAAGCCTCCCGAATCTTCCTGTCATGACCAAATACTGGGCAGTTCCAACAGACAAAAGTTCAGCCCTTCCTGCCTCTTGCACATTCATACCGACCAGTGAGGCTGCATATCCTAGTGCTGGGCCAATAGGACTATATAGAGGCATGGCTTAGTAGAAAACTCTAAACTACCTGGATATGCTGGAGCTTTGCCTGTCAGAATAGCCTGGTGTTTAGCTGCTACAGGAGGATTAGTAGTCTAATGCAGGTATGCGCAGGAAGCTCTAAACTTTATACCTGCAGCAGTAGTTTCAGCGACTCTTAAAATTATTTTTTTATTGTCCATTTTTATTAGTATGTTGATTCATCTTTGACAAAAATATGTCATCTCAATCAATAGCATTTCCATTTTTATTGGAAAATGGACCTCTGTTTCAGACCCTTTTCTGACAAAATTAAGCTTTTCTTCTCCCTAAAATCCCCTTTCTATTGTGTTTGCAAACTTTATTGCAGATCCTATCTTACTTCTAGTACTTACTTAGTAGTTGCTAAGTTGCTTTTATAAGTTAATGGCCAGTATCAGCACTGTATGAATTAATGTCTTGTATGATAGCATTCTGGGAAAGTATCTCATGAGAGGTAAAGCTTATATGATAGCATTCTGGGATAGTATCTCATGAGAGGTAAAGCTTATATGATAGCATTCTGGGATAGTATCTCACGAGAGGTAAAGCTTATATGATAGCATTTTGGGAAAGTATCTCATGAGAGGTAAAGCTTATATGATAGCATTCTGGGATAGTGTCTCATGAGAGGTACAGCTTATATGATAGCATTTTGGGAAAGTATCTCATTAGAGGTAAAGCTTATATGATAGCAGGTTGGGAAAGTATCTCATGAGAGGTAAAGCTCCCAGTGCAGAAAACTTTTTTTAGTGGACCCGGAGTCCAAAAGTGGATGTAACGCATTTATTTTTTTAAATTAGTGTTACTGTAATTAAAAAGTACAGTAAAAAAAAAGAAAAATATCTTAAGAATGTGGTGAGGGAGTTAATTAGGAGATCATTAGGGTTAACTAAGGGGTTAAAATATATTTTAGGGGAACAAATATGTATTTTTTAAAAGTAATTTTTTTTCCTTCTAAGTTTTCTTTAACTGATATATGATCATAGGTCACCTTTTTGATCTGTACTTGGTACTTGAATGAACCAAAATACATAAATAGAACAAAAATGTTACATTGCATTTCCTAATTGATCTTCTAAACAGTGTTCCAAACAATGTTCAGAAGCACCATGTTTACACAGCAAGCCCTAGCTGCCAAAATGCGGGAAAAAGCAGCAGGGGGAGAAGAACAGAACATAGACTGTCTAATTTTTTATTTTTTGGGGGTGGGTGGGCATACAGTGCACACCCAAAGTCTGCCACCTGTTAAACGTAAGTGGTTTGATTTTTTAGAATATTTTACTTAATTATAACTCTGTTGCTTCCATTAAAATAATACCTGATAACCGTGCCATGAAGGTCCTTGTTTAGCTACTTCCTGTTTTAGGGTGACAACGCTCTGTTGTGATCCAGTCGGCCCAGCCGGCTTTCAAAATACCTGAACAGTGCCTCATGATGCACCATTCAGCTGACAATTTTCCACCCATCTGGGGTGTCATGTGGGAGATGGCAGACAGGGCCACCAACTGAACGCTTTTCTGCTGGTTCATCAAGAACAGGTCGAAATAAGCTCAGTGTATAGCCAGCTTTAACAAGAGTTATACTTTACACCATTGGCATACCAGCCCTTCTACTTTTGATGTTGTCTTTGTTTTCATCCATTTAGATATACCAGTCATCACATAACACCTTTCAATGCTGCTATACATAGAGGTCTCAAGCAAGGGTCCATTTTTAAGATATAAAGTTTCCCACTCGGGGATAATTTAAAAAATGTGGAATATACCAGCCTGTATCCTTCATGGTTCCTTCCATCTTTCATTCCAAAAAAGCAACACAATCCCCAACTGACACATTGGGACTGATTTATAAAAATCTGAAGTAAAAGTTGGTTTTGTTGCCCATAGCAACTATTTTGATTTTATTCTTCATTTTCAAATCAGTGCTAGGAATATAAAGCGATGGGCAACTGTTCCACTTTTCATAAATCCAGCCCCTGCTCACACAAGAAAACAGTTCACACGTACATTTACCTTTGGCAGCTGAGTTATTTTGGGAAGACACAGACGGTCTTCTTTGTGTGAGGAACACCCCGGGGGCCATAGGCTGGGACCCTCTGTTTACTTGGGCTACACCAAACGTACTGACACCGGCCGTATACTCATGGTCCGTTAGGCTAGACCCCAAGGATTCCAGCTTTGTGGCTTCAGGAGAACTGCTTTCCTGACAAAGTTTATTTGTATTGTTTGGTGAAAGCTTCTTTTTTGTGTTCTTTTTCTTCTTGACTTTTTGTTCCTCCTTTAAGGAAGCAAATTGTTATCATGAGGCTTCTTAGAAATATAGATTGACCTCTGGATAGATCTAGCAAGTGCGGAGTGCATTAGAAAAGAAAGCTCTACAGAATAGATAGTGGGTATAAGTAGGCTGCCTGTCTCTTTAAGAAGCAAAGATATAAAGAAAATAAAAACGTTGATTTATTAGGGTTGTTGGGAGGAGCTGAAGCAGTGCATTCATTTAGTTTATGGTTTATAGGGGTAGTTCAGATTTTGTCAACATTATTTAGTAGTAAGTAACTGATCGTTTGTATTATTTACATTGTGTTATAGTTTTATTTTATGTTGGTGTATTTAAAAAAAATAATTATTGTTATTTTGGGTGCAATGAAGTTTATTTCTGCTTTAGCCATAACGGTTTCTACTCAGTTGTGTCTAACCTAAGGGTCCGTTCACACCAGACACTGGCCGATTCTGGCTGGAACACACTGGATCGCATTGCGGCCGGCTCACTTTGTTGCGAGGCGGGAGGGGGCATGGCGGTCCATTGAAGTGAATGGCACCGCAGCCACGCCCTCCGGCTGTAATGCGATCGCCCGCACGGGAATGCAAGGCACATCAATGCCTGCGTTCTGGTCTGGTCAGAAAAAATTGCAGCATTTTTTCTGACCAGAGCGCGTTGCAGCCGGAGGGCATAGCTACAGTGCCATTCACTTCAATAGACCGCCATGCCCCTGGCCCCACAACAAAGTAAGCCTGACACAATCGGGCGGAGAATGGTGTGAACGAGGCCTAAGGGTTTCATCAGCAGCATTAAAGTGACACTAAACTCAGGAGTTAAATCTTAAAAATGCATTCAAAAACCTTAACTATTAACAAAATTTAACTTATGTGTGCATCACTCAGCAGGAGATCATCAAAGCATCTCTCAATTGGTGCTGACACTGTCCTTCCTTCTGGAGGGTGGTCACTTTTGTTCCCCATGGTCCACGTGTGTGTTGTAAAGTAGCCACGGCTCCAAGCTTACTACCATGATGGACTACAATCTCATGTTTAGTTTAGCAATTTGTATTGAGATTGTAATCCATCACAGGTGTGAGCTTGGAGTGGGGCTACTTTACAACACACAGGGACCATGGGGAACAAAAGTAGCCACCCTCCAAAAAGGAAGGACAGTGTAAGCACCTAGTTCAGAGATGATTTGAGGATCTACAGCCGAGTGATACACAAATAAGATACAGTTTTTGTTTATAGTTAAAGTACCTGAATGCAATTTTAAGATTTAACTCCTGAGATTAGTGTCACTTTAAGTAGTATGTACATGATTATATGCATTATTTACATTATGTTATAGTTTTCATTCATGTTGTAATTTAGACTAGCTGGTTAATTGTTACTTTTGAATACAACACAGTTTATCTCTGCTGTGGAGAAAACTGTTTCGTTGTCTAAGACTACTGGGTTGAAAAGTGGATCAAAGAAAACTGCTGCCCTCATCCCTCGTTCAGATGCTGTTGTATAAAATATATTTTGAAAGTTGCATACCTCCCAACTTTCTGAGATAGGTAGAAAATTTAGACAAAAGACACACCCTTGCCACACTCTCAATCATGCAGACAAGAAAACCGATGAACATGGAAAAAATGTTAAACCCGCTGGTGCTTTTTACACCACTACTTTTCCTTTATACCAGCAATTCTATCATTTGAAGAATAGATAATACATTCGTTTATACAGGCATACGCATTAGACCCAAACGTTTTATACTGGAGAAGTATGCTATATATTATTGCACATTTAGGAATTGATTTGAAAACTGTACATTGGTTGTTTTAAGAGAATATACTGTATATTGTATTTCTTACTTTATTATGTTCAAGGCTGAATGGCTAATCCCACTACCCCCCACCTGCACTGTTCATATGGGGCCTTTTAGAGATTCAGTATGACAGAGAAAACCCCAAACAGAGCAGCTACTACTGTGCTGTCACTTTTGAAACCACAGACTCTTTGCAAATGTATTAAACATTTGTTAGTGAAAATTAAAAAAAAACTTTTTTAGAACCCCAATTCCAATATCTCCTTACATGATGCATAGCACAACATTACGTGTTTTGTGGGTTTTTTTCTGGAGTTCTGTCTAAGAGTCGGTACAAGCTTTACTGAACAGGGAAAAGTATTTCAGCTAGATGGTCAGCGGCAAACATATTAAGTATCGCGGCTGATACCGATGCTTGTATCGGTATCGGTGCATCCCTAATATTTACCGATAAATTAATATTATGGCATTAAATAGCCTATATATAATAATGTGTATTATTCACTATGAAATTGATGCTTTCGAAAAATCAAGAAAGAGGGGAAAAATTATTCTAAAGTTTAAGCGTATAAATCTATTATTTAATGATTTTCTAAAATAAGATTTAAAAAGTTACATGTTAAACCTAAACTTTTAAAAAGCTGATAGAAAATGTGTTATTAAAATGTAGTACACCGAGTTAATTAGGATAGAGCAAATAAAGCAAATAGAAGGGAAAATAAAGAAAGAAAATACAGACAACAAAGAAATAATAATCTGGAACAGATTTAAAATTCGAATTGAGGATGAAAGCCTTATAAAAGTAATACATTTAAATTAACAAAAAGAATCTATATTTTTTACACCAAACATGTCTGTATACTTCAATTAAGCCTTTTAATAACTATTTTTAAAGACGAACTCCAGGAATATAAAAAGCTAACTGCTCATTTTGGTCTAAGGGCTCAAAAAACTAAAAAACTTAACTATCCCTCGATTCCGCCTGGCTGCAAGACGTTCCCAGCAGCCTCCTCTCCCCTGGGCCCCAGAGGTCTAAGCCCCGCTGACATCATCATGTCTAATGTAGTCCATTCACCTGCATTAGATGTGAGGATGTACAGGGACATACCACCGCGGAGGGGGAGAGAGGTGAGCAGTCACCACCCCAAAACCGAGTACGAGTGTATCTTCTGTATTCCGTCCTCCAGAAAAAAAACAAGTAATTAACACTTGCAGTGTGGGGGTAGCCCCACTGCAAGGGTTACCTTTTTACATTACTGGAGTTCTTCTTTAAAAAAATATATACAGTAAACTCTGTGATCTGGTATTCACTGTTATGCTGATCTGCGGCATGTATTATCCTGGAAACGATTGTGTGTCTATTTGTCTTAATTTGTTTTAAGTGTGTCTACTTGCTTTTGATTACTGCATTTCAATATTAATATGAAGTCAATACAGAGTTTGTTATGATATGGTATCGTATGGGGTATGGCATTAGTTAGACCTATTTTTAATAGTAATACTCAAGCAACCAGAAACTACATTTATCCAGAATCTACCAATCCTCGTGGATGCCGGCTAACGGGGAGTTTACTGTATATTCATTCCAAAGTGTAGTACAATACTCGTAAACAGTTATATTGAGTTAAACAATAAATATTGCCAAAAAATGTTTAAAAAATCTTAGCATGTCATGGGTCATTTGTGTATCCATTGGACAGCTGGGCTGGCCCTATTATAAAGCACCTGCTGTGACCACTGTGTGGTCTGTCCATGCTTTATTATGTTATATATGAGGGAGTATCGAAAAGTAAAGGCAAAATACATTTAACGGCTTTAATAGAAGTAACTTTTCCGCACAGTCCCCATACAAGATGATGCACTTGTTGTATCATTTCAACTAGCTTCTGTATTCCTGCAGAGAAGAAGCTTTTCTGCTGCCGCTGAAGCCCGGTGTGCCCAGCTTCCTTCACTTCATCATCTGAGACAAACCTGCACCCGTGGTGCCCCTTCTTCAGCGGACCGAACATGTGATAATCTCTCGGCGCCAGAAAAAGGCTGTAAGGAGGACGTGGAAGATGTTCAAACCCATCCTTTTTTACTGTCTCTACTGTTGCTGCTGCTGTATGAGGATGTGCATTGCCATGTTACAGCAGGACTGTTTTGGATGGCATTCCTCTTCTTTTGCTACGAACAGGTGTACATTTCTTTCCCAGCAATTCACAGTAAGTTGCACTCTTCATTATTTGCCCATGCTTTGTCTTTTTGTTCTCTGGGTCATATTGGTGCACCCATGTCTCACCGTCGGTGACAATTCTCTCCAGAATACTCTGATCTTCTTCCTCCATCTCAAGAAATGGAAAACTCCACAAGCTGTTGCTTATGCATAGCAGTAAGCTGTTTAGGAACCCAACATGCACAGACTTTTATGTATTCCAAGTCAACATGCACTATGGTAAACATGGAGCCATAGCTGATATCCAAATGTGCAGCCAAATGAAACACTTTTATCCATTGGTCTTCTGTAAGGCAACCGCTCTGTAGTTGTGGTCTTGTGTGTGCGGTGTTGATGGGCAACCAGAACGAGCTTTGCCAGTTACACCTGTTCTTAACCCTTTAAACCTTTCTACCCGCTCATAAACCTTTCGTTGATTCATGGTGCTATGACTATAATGAGCCAACATCCTACGGGAATTTCCACTCCCTCTGCCCAAAGAAAGTGCCTACGGCATGTTGTTCTTCAATGGTGCAATCTCGCAATCTCGCATCTATGTTTCTGTCCACATGACTACCATTCAACTAAAGTCCAAGCGATGTACAGCTCATGGTCAAACTATCCAACACGCTATGTAAATATGCTCCATTGCGCAAGCTTCTCTCTGTTCCAGTTACTGCGTAATTTATAAATTGCCTTTACTTTTTCATTCTCCCTCATATATTTCTATATAAAGTCCATAAAGCAAGATATGGATCACAACTGACATGCCCAGTGAAATTTCAGGAAAATAAAAACAACATTCTAAAAATTAAAAAGCCTAGCCTCTCGCCATCATAACATGAGACACAGCACACCTTCCTCTGGTAGGCATAGAAAATACATAATTCTGGTTGTCTGGGTTTAAGATATCATATTATTTGAATATCCTTAGACACCTGTATTTAGAGCTTTCACTGAAAGTCTACAAAAATTTATGTTTTGACTGGAGTTCTAAAGGTTGCTAAATATAAATGCATTTTAATGAGGACTAATATTCACAGCTCTAAAAGAAACATTTGTTAATGTGTTGTAAAACTATTTGTTTCTTTTACATATTCATACATTTTAAAAAAGTGAATAGAAAGATTATTTTGTTTGTTGAAATGTCTTAATTGTTAAATACATTTATATATATTGATTACTTAGATAGTATGCACAGGTATTGGAATTCAGAGATCAGTACAACTGTTTCTACTGCCTATTTTTTTTAATTCAGACCAATATTCATTTCTAAAGATGTAACATTTCCAAGGCTAGGATGTGATAAAGACTTTCACAACATCTCACCTGCTGGGACAACTTGGCTGCAGCAGCCGCAAGTCCAGTTTCAATAGAGGCAACTCTCGTACCTTCACGGATGGGCCTGTCTTGCCTGGGTATGGAAGGACCGACTCTTGCTAGATAACAAACATTTAATGTGGAACCAGCATGAATATAATAGCAAACAACCCCTTTAATAGTCAATCATCAGTCAAAAAAATCTCTTAGGAGATTATATCAAAAACATTTAAATGTCTTTTATTGTTTCAAATGTATTTTACGTGCTCCATGTGTTTCCATGAATAAGTATGAAGAGCAAGTTCCCTTGGCCAAATGTGTGCTAGTTTCATCCCCAGAACCTCTACTGTCCTGGGAAGACTTGGTGTAATTTTGTTCAACAGATCACATTTAATATAAATATATATATATATATATATTATACAATACATATATAGTAAAGTCACCAAACCAAAGGAAAAAATACCATGAGGTTTGTATATTTAAAGCATTTAGAGCTGTGAACACCGATGTAAGTGATAGTTTTGAGGAGAACACTCATTTTTGCCTGGAATTAGAAGGATAGCAGCGATTATTTAGACTTTCAGAGGCAGGAACCTTCAAAGGGGGTTTCTATCACACCCAAAATGCTGACTTTTCAATACCAAATAAAGCAGAATTATTATGAACATAGTTTGTTGCTGACCACCCACTGAAGTTTTGTCACATCAGCCATCACTAAAAAACACCCATTTATTACATTCCAGTATAAGAATCAAGGATACATGTGTTGTGCCCCCATGAAAGGTCTATAGATGTCCTGAATGAATATGGTTCTCGCAGAGCATGTAGCATCTTTCTGAGGGGTTTATGTAATCTAGTAATTTTGTTCTCAATGACTCCCTGAAATGACTAAGTTTACATACAGAAAAAAGAGCAGTCTGAGAAAATGGGAAGTTTTGAATCAAACATTGATTTGTCTGAAAAAGATCACTCGTATGATCTTTGATGTGCACAACTGGAATTTTCATCTGATCTGTTCAATAAACAGTATTCTTGCATCCTAACAAAAGCGAATACAATATATATTTTCTGTACCTAACAGAATATTAGCACAGCTAGAAATTTATTTTTCGAATACTTTTTTGCAGTAGAAATAAATCAGCACTGTTTATTGGATGACATATCCTACAAACGATCATTCATCCAAGGCACTGACCAATAGTCTAAAAGTTATTTCAATTAGTAAATAAGGTCCTACTGCATAATCCACCCTGAAAGAGATACATTGCTTCCACTGCAAATCAATGCTATCTTTATCCCATTGGGGAGATTTCACTTCACATCCTGTCAACATACCAGGAAGTGAGAGGTAATCTCTCTAAAATGAGCAAAATCTCCTCTTAGCTCTCACCAGAACAAGTGCCCCAATTGTAAGATTTCCTCTCTATTGCTTTTCTGGAGACAGCTTACAAATCTGGATTTCCCCTTACTTTTAGCCCCAATAACAATGGTTGCCTGGATAAACAGAAAGAAATGACTCTCCCTGGTGGGGACAACACAGACAGCAATCAAAACCATACAGGAGTCTAACCCTTCACCACTCTATCCACAACCAATAAAAAGTTTTAGCTTTAGATACACTTTAGCATTTTACCCATTATAGAGACACCATTCTTGCCCTTTAGCTCTTAGTTCCAGGGTTCAGTCCCCAAAGGCTGTTATCTGCATGGAGTTTATATTTATATGTTTATATGTTCTCCTCTGTCTATGTGTTTCTATCCATAGTTAAAAAAAACGTCTGGCATGCTAACTGGCTGCCCCTAAAAATGGCCCTACTGTATGAACACACATGTAACTGAAGTGAGGTCAGTAGAGTTTAGGTTCCCTAGGGCTGCAGAAAGTTTGTCAGCTCTGTAAAAAAAATGAGTTTTATTCATAGTGACAAGTTGATACATTTTTCCTGACCCCAATAGCAAGAGTTCCCTTACAACTCTTGGCCTAGTCCATACCAAAGTTGCTGCTTGGGCTTCTGTTTTTCAGTGGCTAAGAAGAGATTATTACTTACATGGAGTTCCTATTCCCTGGCAGGCCAAAGAATTTCAATAACTTTCCCTTAACCTTAAAACACACAATATGGCCTCACTAGAAACCCCATCGTTATTTTTTTTCCAAACATTTTCAGAAACTTCCCAACATCTCAATACAACCCACCACTCAGCAGCATTTTTTCAGTTGTGACCAGATTGTTAGTATTACATAAAATGCAGTCAGCTTTACCAATGACACAATGTGATGGTTTGATGACATGATACCTTCCTATGGCTGTCAAAACAAAAATATGGCAGAATAATGTTGCTCTTACATTATTGCTGTGACTTAGCCTTTAATTAAACTAGTTAAAGCAGTGTGCTTATAGTTTTATTTTTAAAGTAAACTGAAAAAATACTGCTGTATCAGATAGAATAACAGAGGACTTGGGTTCTATATTGCAGGAGGATTGTAGGAGATGCATGCTCACCTGTGGGGCTATATGGAGCATCATCAGAACATTTTCTTTTTCTTGATCGAGATTTGAACACAGGGTTATCTTCATCTGACTCGAGAGATGGGTAAACTATACAAACAGAGATCAGTGTTATTGGAGTGTATTGCGCAATCTCCGCTACATATATGGGCTACTTAAAGAGCAATGTGCAAGGTACAGTAACCCAGAGTGAATAACGGCAATTCATGTTTCATTTGTCTGACAGTAAACCTGGTTTCTATGGTTTTCACATGAGTGTGGTAATATGTAGCTTCAGTGTCAGTCATTGTTGGGTGATATTAATTAGGACAGTGCTAAATCAGCTATGGGGCTATGCTAAATCTCACTTTTTATGTACATCATCCCATTTGCACACCTCAGCTGAGACAGCTTGAAGAATCAGAAAAAGAGCTAAAAATATAATGTAAAGAAAAATATGTGTTTCAGTAGCTTACCCCAATTTGGGATATATAAAACAGAAGAAGGTCTCCAGGGGAAAATTAAAATAAATATTCTTATTTTCTTTAAAGGAGCCCCAGCCAGTGTTCAAAATATAAAAACAGAACTGGCTGCAATAATTAACTTTTGGGCACTATCCCTCTCAGTACCTCTTTCCAGCCACAAGATGTCCTCAGTCTTCTGGGTTGAATGACGCCCAGTGTCATTTATCCCAGAAGGCTGAGGACATGCTCTGTGCAGAGCATCATGGACCAGCAATAGGTTGCATGTAGCTTCTTAGCAAATGCAGAAATGATATCAAGCATCTCATATTTTTTAAAATACGAGTCTCTTTATATATTTACTGTATATATTAAAATGTCATTATATTAGTAGCTCTTTTACATAGTAAAGTGCTAGTTTAGATTTGTATGCTGAAATAAAGATATATAAAAAAGGTTTATTGCCAGGGGGAGACCTTTTACTATACACAGCAACAGAAACCTTGAGCAGTATACATTATAACAGAACAATTATCGCTGGAGTTTATTAAAGTGGCTCTGTCATCTATAAAACAAACCAAGCTACTAACAAGTATAAAGTGCAGGTGGCTAGATATGCCTGAACATATCAGAACCAGATTTAAGTGCACACCCGAATGCCAGGGCATTCCAAACCAGCAAAGTTCTGGCATTTCCTTGTTGTAAGGGAGCTTTTTCGTCCCCTTCCACCTTTAAAACATTCCTATAGGCCAGTGAGGCAACCCATAACAGAGATGGGCAAGTGGGAAAGCACCCAGTAAAGCCTGGCATACAGTGGCACTGAAAGCCGCTGTAGGTATGTGCAGGCACCTCTAGTTGCCTATACTCTATACCTGTCAGCAGTTATTTTATATTTTTTTAAATAAAGAATATAACATGTAAAACAATTAGCAAATAAAAAAATGCAAGCTGTTCAATCTTAAATAACAACTCTGGGAAATGCTTTATTGACCCTTGCAGTTAGGCTACCCTGCACTGCAAAGGTTAACTGCTCGTTTTCACTTAGGGAATAAAATAAAAAGGTTATACTCACCCAAACCTTGGAGCCAGCCAGCTGTCAGAGAGCTTCCTCCAACCTCCTCCTTCCAAATGTCCCTCGGCGTCCTCACATCCAACACACACAGGGTTATTCACAAAAGGGTGAAGAGTTTGGAGAAGGCAGGAGAAGTGAACAATCTAGGACAACATCGCTGAACTGGAAAGTGAGCTGAATTGGAGAATTTTTCCAAATCAGCTATGTTGTCCTAGATTGTTCACTTCTCCTTCCTTCTCTGAACCCTTCACCCTTTTGTGAAGAAGGGTGAAGAACACACCAGCTTGGAGGATCGGGTCAGTTTAACTTTTTTTATTTTAGTCCCTAGACGAAAATGAGCAGTTAACCCTTGCAGTGCGGGGGCAACCCCCTGCAAGGAATAATACAAATTTTGCCCGGAGTTCTGCTATAAGGAATTCATAGAAATATAGATATTTTTGAAGCCTGATAGCACAATAATGCCGTATTTATATTTGCTGTACAGCTCAAAAAAATGCTTCCTGCGGTATCCTTCAATGCGTCTGTTGCCTGAAAATTTGCAGTGTATAGGAAAAATATCTTCCCCCAAAACCTCCGAGCTTTTCAGTTGCACAGGCCTCTAATATGTTTACACATAAATGTCTGTAAAATAACCCAGCTCATCTGAGGTGTGCAGCATAACAGGACATCCGAATATCCGAGTAAGCACAAAAGAAAGAGGACACACAATGTAATTGCTGAGCAACTTGCTACAGATATGAAGAGAGAGCTAAGCTTAACTATTTAGTGTGTTCTGTTTCTCTAAGAAAACATAATTATGCATTTATGTAATGAAAATGAATAAGGCAAAAACAAAACAAAAACGCAGCAGTGCAAATGGTATCTGTTATCTCATAATGTATGCATAACCCGTATCTTTCATGATACACCATAACTGTCCAAAACACTATAACTACTGTACAAAATGACAAGATGTAGTTTGATCATCTGCAGAGTGCATGGGCAGTGCTTGCATCCATGCTATTTATATATTTTTTTCACCTTAAAGCAAATATATCCTTAAAATAATGTTATAAAGCTTAATGTATATTGCACACTCTGTCACACATTCACAACACTGAAAACTGAAAAATGACCTGGTAATGAATGGGGTTTCACATGGCGGTACTGAAGTGGTTAAAGAGGAACTTTACCCTTATCTTTGAAAAGACAACAAACATACCTTTAGAAATGTTTAGCAATGACAATCTATAAACACAAACTTCTCGATAATTGTCAGTATTTATTCTATACATACCTTATTTTTCTTTTCTTCCCCAGTCTTCTTACATTGGCCATTTTTTACTAAGGGCAGATTACTATATCTCCCTTTACTTCCAGGAACTCTGGCACATGTGACTAGGACATGTGACCATGCAGCTCAGGGCAGGAAAATGCCTTTCCCCTGAGATGTTGTGAGACAACAGATGAGATTTCCCAGCAATGCAGTATGATGTAAGCATCCCAGGATGCATCCCTTGGGCACAGATTACATCACTAATGCCCAAGAGGACCAGCAAGTAAAGAAACAGTAATTGTAAGTAAATAAAAAATATGTTTGTTTAAGTAATGAATGTAAGATGATTTCATATCAGCATGCAGAGCTGCATGTGGATGTGATTTTTTTAGTGGTAGGGGGTAAAGGTTTGATTTAAGGAGTAGAGGTCATCAATGGCAGCCCCTGTTATTCTTTCAGGACAGTTATCCTGGTCACATATTGCACTCCGTGGTTTCTCCTTCTGACCTGTACATCACTTAGATGTCCTCTAGTGACGTAGAGGGCCAGTGGATGAAACCACTGCATGAGGTGGGGGGCAAGGCATGCAACATCCCTGGAAGTGTCAAACATGAACATTATCCTGGAGACCGTAGCTCTTTAGGAAACTGATGATCCAAGTCAGTGCCTGTCCGAGAGGTTGTCTTTTGCCCTATTTAGAAAATAAACTTTCCCTCCAACACTTGCTTTAGAGAAGAGTTACATAGTATAGTTACATAGTATTTGAGGTTGAATAAAGACATAAGTTCATCAAGTCCAACCTATTGCGTGTGTGCATTTATGTTTGAGCTCGTGTGTGTGTGTATGAGTCCATGTGTGATTTTGCTCTTAAGAGTACTTGTACCCCTTTATGTTATGGTCTCCGAGGAACTCGTCCAGGAGTTTCTTGAATGATTCCGCACTCTTAGCAGAAATCACTTCCTGCGGCAGAGAGTTCCAGACCTCAACCGCTCTAACTGTGAAGAACCCCTTGCGCCCTGTGTGTAAAAAAAAATTTCTACCAATTTGTGGTGGTGCCCTCTGGTCTTTGTTACGGAGCTAACCGTAAACAGTTTGTTAATAATGTTGCTGTCGCCTTTGAACAGTTTATACAAAAAAATCATGTCCCCTCTTAATCTCCTTACTTCCAAAGAGAACATATTTAATTTAATATTTAACAACCTTGTTTCATAGTTCAAGTCCTCCAACCCCTTAATGAGTTTGGTTGCCCTCCTCTGGACTTTTTCCAGCTCAAGGACATCTTTTCTGAGTACCGGTGACCAAAACTGGACCGCGTACTCCAGATGAGGCCGAACCAGTGATCTGTAAAGTGGCAAAATTATAGACTTGTCCCTGCAATACATTGCCTCCTTAATACAAGACAGGACTCTGCTTGCTTTGTTTACAGGAAAGTTAAAAAGACAGCATGCCAGGATACAGCGCTACAATTGAGGGGTTAAATTGGAGATATGTTGAGTTTCCTTATACGGTTTGAGCAGCTTCAAAAGCGTATAGACCGGGGTGTCCAACCGAAGAGTAAGTTAAACCGAGAAGGGAAGGGTGAAGCGCTGCAAGCCGAGTAGGGAACAGGGCGATTTTTCGCTGAACCTTGTAGGGGGGGGGGAGCTGGAAAACTGGGAGCTAATATAATCTATGCCCATAGCCCTTAGCTTGTTTAACAAGCGTTTATGTGGCACCGTATCAAATGCTTTGGAAAAGTCCAGAGTTCACAGATATTACACAGTGTAAATTATACTTCTACTGAATGTTAAATGTGCAACTATATAAAATGTTAACACAAGAGCACCTGTCTCATGCACACTGCAGAGGTAGTCATTTTACAAAAATGCAGATGAATGAGCAGCCAACTCATTACTGCTGTCTGGGACCGCACCACAAACATCTCCTCCCACGCATGGTTATACGATGGGATAGGATTTTCAGCAGAGTTACTGTTATCACCAGTGTACAAATTCTATACATTGTCTGATAAATAACCTGCTACAAGGCAGAGGAGAAGGAAATGGACTTAAAGGAAAACTATGAAGTGAGTGAAAATCACTCATCCTCATAGTTCGAGCCGACGTGTGACAATGAAACTGTCACACGTCGGCTCAAGAGATCGGGAAGTGAGCGAACGCATAGCGTAGCTCGCTCACTTCTCGATCATCTCCCTGCAGAGAGCTGTGACTATCAGTCACTGCTCCCCGCAGGGATTCCCCCCTCCCCTCTCCGATTCTCCAGCGCTGACTGAAGGAACGGACGGGGGAGGGGCGGGCACAGCTGGCTCTGTCTCTAGATAGGC